GTGGCGCACCACTTCAATTGCAAGGCTGATCCAAGGGTGCTGCTCAATCGATAATGCTTCGGGCAACATCCACCTGAGCCGAATTCTCTGCGGACTTTCATGCATGCACCAAGACTATCCTCCACAAATGCGAGCCGAGTGGGCAGCTTCCTGGGAGATAGGGAAACACGGAAGAGAGCTTGCTTTTCAGACTTGGGCCTAAACCGGGGAAAGTGGCACTCGACGTACGCGGCGGAACACACAAGGCCATCAGCTCTGTAATCACGCAGGTGCGTACCGGCAAAATGGGCCTGGGCGCAGTGCGCACAGACAGAGGAGCAGCCTGGCAAGCACCGATTCCCGCAGAAAAGACTGATCCCTTGGATTATGGGAGCAATGTGTCTATAATCATGCGCTGCATAGCTGCCATACACTTGACCAAAACGCATGCGTACTTGGTCATGGCGTATAGTGGTTATCACTCGTATACGCATAGCGTGTTCAAGGTGGGTTAATAATGCCTTTGTTTGCGAGATTGGCTAGTTACCTCTAGCTCAGCCCGCTGGTAAGGATGATCGACTTACTCCACACCTCGGACTCCCTCACGGCTAGCGAGCCCTTGGATATCCCCAGCCCGACCCTTGCGGAGACTGATTCTACCTCTTGACATTGCAGGGGCATCCTCACCTCACCCACTCCAGTTCGCGACTTGTCGCGGGATCAGCCTTGTCTTCCTCCCCCGGCGCCTAGCTGCACATAGACCGCGAGTTTGTTGCTGGTATGTAGTAGACATATTTGGAAAAAAGACTCCACTTCAGCAGCTAGGGCTGGTAATAAGTACGAGCAGCGAATATTGCGGTGGCTGTTGCTGGTACTTGGTAAGGCATGGGCGGGTGGTTGCTGGCGTATTGATGAGCCTGTTGCTGGTACCCTGGCCGCTAAAGTACTGGTACCAGGTAGGCGCTAGCAGTGTTTAAGTGTAGGCTGCTGGTACTAGCTAGGCGCTGGTAACTTACGCTAATGAGCTGCTAGGATGTGGTGGGCGCTAGTAACTTGTTATAGCTAGTTGCTAGTATAGAGAGCTGGGCGTTAAATTTCGTTGCTGGTACCTACAGTGGGCTACGGGTGGGTTGCTAGTACTTATCTAAGTCTTTATTTATTTGTTATTATTTATTCATAGACTGTCCCAGCCGAGGGACTGAGCTACGTGGCCGTGTCGCGCGTGAAAACGCTGCAGGGTTTGATGCTGATGGGCCGTTTGACCGCAGTCACCTTACATACGTGTTGCCTCCAGAGGGAATGAAGATGAAAATACGGGATCATCAACTGCGAAAGCGACAAGTCCTCACGCAGAATCCTTATAGGATGGCTACGTTACTCGACTCGATGCCGTCCGTGACAAGAAAATTCTCCGTAAATGCACGTAATAGTAGGCATATGACTATTTGGTGACTGCGCAACTGCGCAACTGCTCGACTACTTGTTCAGGTTTACAGACTCGCAGCCTTCGGCTGATTACACGCCTTGCACCCGACTCCAAAGTGCAAGGTGTGACAAAGTACTTTACATTATATAATTACTCCGTGTGAAGCTAATTGTTACCGACAGCCGACCTTCTTGGGGAATATGCGTATGCGAGTGTAGCATCGCCAAAGTCGTAGACTCCTACGACGACGGCGGTATGTTACATCTAGCATCACCACAATTTCCAGTGACGTCTTCCTCCCGGTACGTTTCAACGCAGGTATCCGGTGTACTACAAACGTTCTCGGTTCGAGTCTCCTTGACATGACCACAAGTCCAGATTGATGTTATTATTGTGCACATTTCTGCCCTTTTGTTAGACCGGTAGCAGCCTTGCTGTCGAGACGTACCTTATTACTTCTGATAGCTTTCGTTGTAGGATGAAATATAAGTTGCATGAAAATGTATCGTGACAGGTCGTGCAATTTATAGGAGTGCACATTGCTGCCTAAGAGCCCCGCAATTCAGGATGCGGGCCGGTTCACGCTCTTCCAACGTGTCGCACACCATCACGACCACCCAGGCTGAAGATGTCAATAGCACATTCCATCTTGGAGTCGGTCTCGTCTATAACTTTTAAAACAACTCATGACCTTACACAAAATGGCTCTCGATCTTTGCATCCACGCCTGCATCCAGAAGCCGCGTCACCGACTCCACCCTCCGCCTGCCAACACGCCATTACGAATCCGAATACAAGGGCCTCTCGAGACAACAGAAAAGCTACTTCCAGACGTAAAGTGGCACAATATCGTGTCATTCCCACAGCCGGGGGGTGTAGAGCTCGCAAGGCTCACACACGAGGCGTTGTACGGCAGAGAGGTACACGCCGAGACCCGCTGTCGTCTGGTTGTGCGAGATGAGTACTTGGCCTGGGCCATGTCCGGAAGACGGCCATTAAGGTAAAAATGCGCTGGATCAAATTTTTATCCCTAGCTGACCGAAGTTTTAGTTATATTGACTACTACGGTGTTACATTCGACCATCTGGTTTCCCCCGATGACCCTGACCCCGAAGTGCTTGTGATTAACATTATCGAACTCGACTCTGTTGGTGGTATATATTCCGATGGAGGTTTGTATGCAAGCGAAGTTCTTGCATTTCCTGTAGATCCGATGGAATATGTCGGGAAAAAAGTATTGGCTGTACCCAGGTGCTGCCAGCACAAAAAAGGAACTCAGGATCGGATGCGGATAAATGACGAGGTAAAAGAGAGAGATAAAAGGCTTGCAGGCAGCAGGTAAATATAGGCAAAGCGCCTTTGACCAACAGCGCGCAGGAAAACGAGCTAAGATCGATGCATCAAACTTTGTTTGGCCACTTAGAGGCTTATCATACCGTACCCTATTACAACGTAATATATAGTTCTAAACTTATTTCCTTTCGTTCTAAAAGCCCTTAAATGACCACCCTTACAATAGGTTGCCCAAACCTAACATATGTTATTGACCAGTTCCTCAGCTTCCGCCTATGGGGGGAGGGCAATACCTTAGGGATAGCAATGCACAAGGTAGTTGATGCAGAACTAGTCGCTTCGACATGCGTGCATCTGCTAAAGATTAATTGGTTAGAAGGTCACGCCAACTTGAAACTCTGATCCAGCTGTTCTCTTAAGCTATCTTTTCCTATCTAAGCTATTTATAGACATGGCTTTTCCCCAGATTATATGTAGCCCATGCCATATCCACACTGACACTTCCCCCGCAGACGCTGAGATCGACGTCGCTGTTGGCCAGAAGCCGCTGTAAAATACCTAGATCGCGGTAAGCTGAAGCGATAAGAAATATTTAATTCTGATATCACTAATAGAGATGCAAAAGGACATAGAGGTCCTAGGCGTACGTCCCCTCGTTGCCTTTATTTCCGAGTTCCTCTTGCGGGTGTTGTCCCTTCCTCGACCAGTCCAACCAATACGTAGTTAACCTGCCAGAAGGCGGCTGGGACAGTCTATGAGTTGATAATTAAATAAATAAACAAAAAAGTTCGTCCTAGCCGATGCAGGTTGTTGCTGGCAATATTTAGAGACCTGACGGTCCAAAGCACCCATCCGGTCAGTATATCCTCGCGGAGGCCATACAAGAACTCGACAAAATCCGGACCGAAGGATGGGATGTGCAGCTCCGATGGATCCCGGCACATGTAGGCGTACCCGGCAACAGTTGTTTCCGAACGGCAGGTGACGTCAGCAGCTCTAATACAGAGGCTGAAGCTACCAAAAGCAATCATCAAGGGATCAAACATCACAATGTATCAGTAGTGTCGCAACGCAACCAAAGCAAGCTGCAGGCAGCTTGCTTGTACCTCTTTATAGGTCTATCTGATCTCTCTAGATAGAGAATAAGCACACTTGAAGAATCACATTTACAACTGCAACGAAGCCACCGATAATGCAGCCAAAGACGCCGTCCGAAAGCACGGGGATCCATCAGAGCCGAATTCCGTGCGTACTCTCATGGCACCCACCAACACCATTATCCACAAGACCATGCGAGCCGAGTGGGCAGCTTCCTGGGAAATGGCCAAGCACGGAGAAGAGCTCTTCCGACTTGGGGTCAAGCCCGAGAAAACTGCACTCGACTTGCGCCGCGGAACACACAGGGCCGTCAGCTCTGTGATCACGCAGATGCGCAACGGCAAGATTGGCCTTGGAGCGTACCTCCACGCCATCAACAAAGCGGACACCGGCAAATGCCAGTGCGGCTATGGACCTAAGACCGTGCGACATATCCTGCTCGAATGCAGAAACTGGACAGAAGAACGACAGCAAATGTGGGCAGGCAGACAGCCGTGCGTTGATCTCAAACGCATTCTCTATAGCTCGTCAGCCGCAGTGCTTGCAGCAAAAATGATCCTGAGGACGGGCCTGCTAGGACAATTTCGAGCAGTCCCGTCCACCGTACTCCAATACCAAGCGTAGACGAGTGATTTTGGTTATATAGAAGATGAGGAGGGCTAGAAAAGGCCTGACAAGTTCAGATAGACAGAACAGATAGAATAGCTATAAGCAAAGAGCAACCATAGGTCCCGTCGTTTGACAGGAAGAGTCTCCCTCGCAGGAACAGCTTGGCAGGCATAGTTTTCCCGCAAGAGAGACAAATCCCTCTAACTAGTATGATTGTGTGAATTTTAGTCTCGTGACCTATGCGATTTATGTATGAGACGCAAGTCCTATCCTAACATCAAGTTAATATGTTCCTTGCTTTGCGTCTCCCATACGGTCGAGCAGATGCGACCAATTCCCTTGCGATAGGCTACTTCTTCTTCCCATTCTATCCACATGACCCAATGAAAATGATACCAGCCGTCATCAGTTCCACCACGCCTTTCAGGGTGGTCAAGCTCCTCTATTCCAGTTTCAGACGCGGTTGTGTCGGGACAGCACCCTCTGGCTAGTTCGACGACCTCGACCAATTCATCCTCCTGCATGTTCATACGATCAGCAGATTCAGCAAACCTCACTAAAGGCTCCAGGGCACCGACCCACCGCCCATATTCATCGCGCAATGAGAATACCGGCGCCTTTCCATAGAATTTTCGAATTCTCTCCGCGGATAACATATAAGCTCGGCGTGTGCAACACGATATGAACGATGGGTTGATAACCGACGGCTTGGACTCCGGCTGTGCAATAGGAATCGGGTACCGAAACTCGTATTCGGGATGCTTGGCATTCTTAAAAAACGTGGCAGGTGTATAGTTCAGATTCTTCAGATCACACTCCAGCTCCGGACTCTCCCAAATGTCATGCATGCTCCATTCAGAGGTGAGGCTTAACTCGTCCTTGAGCCACAACGCCCGTTGTCTCGATATACCAGGGTTAATCGGGACTCCAGGTATATCGGGTCTCTCGTGGCGCTTCCACTCCACAAGAGAGGTGAGAATATGCGAGTTTGCAGCTCGATAGATTTTCGAAGGACTCTTTTTGAGAAAGTGCGCTGCCGAGCCGATGTTGATCGAAATAGCCCCGGACCAACCTACCCAGCTCCAGCTAGGCAGAGAGCCGGCGCGGGTGGAATCTATGGGCTGTCTGCGGGATACTCTCGTCTGCGGGCTCCACAGCAGGAATACATCAAAGCACACCGAAGGAAGGCCTGTAATCAACTCACCACCAACCGCTGCAGAGATACAGTGCGATATGCCGCTGAAAGCATCTGTAGCGTCTTCTGGGTAGCTGAATTCTCGACAGTTATACTCATTCAAAACCATCTGAAACTCAGAAAACTCCGGAATGGACGCCTGGAGCATGGAACGGCAGGCGGCGACACCGCGATAAGGAGTATCCAGTTGAACATTGCCATCGATATGCTCACGCCACACGTTCTCCATGCACTCCCACCGGAGTGAGTCGCCATCAAATATAAGTTTCCTTGGCGAGCACATGTTCTCCTGATATGTCCATGCCCTGGTCGACCATCTAGGGTTGAGACACTCCACGTCGTGAAACTGGCCTTCTGCAGGGAACTGGAGAATCTTAGTCCTGTCTTCCAGATAGTGCACGACTTGCTGTAGGTTTCTGGGCTCTGATATGCCGTGAAACCCTCGTAAGCCACTATCAGCATGATTGCCCTGGATTGCTAAGATAGTGACAGACGAGTTAGCGTAGATGCCGCCCATCTTAGACAACTCCTCATGTTTCTGCAACCCTTCATCCTGTATAATGCAAAGTGTGTCGACCCAAAGGTACCTCTCGCCCAGGAGCTTCACAATTCCCAACGCGTCGCGGATCGTTTTGGGTAGAAAATGCCTCAAAGTAAATTCAGCCAGAGAGCGCGGTCGCTGGAGGACAGAGATGTTAGACTTCGTGGCCAATAGACCCTGCTTAGAACCCCAGACGTAACTTAGTGCCACATAGGAATAATCGCTAGAGTTCTCGACAATACACTGCTCGTAAACATCTACCAGTAGTGCTGGCGTCATGGAAAATAGCGATGGTATCGAAAAGCTGCCACATGACTCTTTATGCAGCCGGACACAAGACTCTTTCCAGAAAGAAGGAAGACCGCTGTCAATCCACTCCGGGTCGATGATGCGACCGCCTACCAGGTCTTCGCGGTCATCTGCGGTTTTACATATATAAAGGGCTGCCCGCCTCGGGGGCCTGTCAGACGACGATAGATCCGTTGTGAGAATGGCTGCTCCGTTGTGTGGAATTTTAAGAATTCGGATGTCACGGATGTCTTCTATAAGCTGAAGCTGGAGCGAGTGAGGAAGAAGACTCAAGCGTAGGGCTGAATTGATGAGCTTCTGGTGGATGGTACACCCCGTCGAAAGAGCTAAGGCAGTCTTGCCACTTCCAAGCGATACTTGAGTGAAGTTCACGGTAGATCGCACCACCTTGGCAATTCTGTCACATATGGAACAGTTAATCTGAAGGAAAAGGGGTGAGTTAACATCAGAGAGCTCAAGCCGCGGCCCATATCTTAATTATCACCTTCATCATAATGCACGGCAATGCCAAGTTTCGCTTTTTTAACTTTAGAAGGAAGTAAATCGGGAGTACTGAATAGTCACAATTCAATATCGTACCCCGTATAGCGCGTCAGGGGGTGGGTATTCTGAGCGGCCCTGCCGTATACTGCGAGAATATTCTCCCGGTAGACGGCGAATTCTGTATCCTAATACTAGTTTTGCAACCAAGGGCCCTCAGCTTGTTCTACGATTTTATCACGGCCTTGGAAAAATGATTGGCCGAGATTGCAGAGCGCTATAAAATTAATGAACTGTTTCTGCAAAGATGCCCGCTGAAGCGGGACGCACCGGTGTGGAGCTCACCCAGGTCGCACGGCGTCGCACGGTATCGCACGGCGTCGCGCGATTAGCCGGCTGCGTCAAGGATTTCCGCAAGCTTATTATATTCCCCCGGATTGTGGGAGCAATTTGTCTATAATTGTGCGCTGCATAGCCGCCAGAAGGCAGCTGGGACAGTCTATGATTTAATAGATAAATAATAAATAAATAAATAATAACAAATAAATAAGACTCAGATAAGTACTAGCAACCTACCCGTAGCCCACTGTAGGTACCAGTAACGAAATTTAACGCCCAGCTCACTATACTGGTAACTAACAGGCAGACTCAAGATAATTTATTTGATTATTTATTTATTTATTTATTAATTCATAGACTGTCCCAGCCGCCTTCTAGCAGCTATGCAGCGTGCAACTATAC